ATTTCAGGGACTTTTCCTGGATTCCTGAGCTGCTGATATTTGAAGCAAGTCCATCCAGGCCAAAGAGTTTTCCTTCCATACAAGAGGAATGTGGGGGATATATTGAGCTTTGCAGGAAATGGGAAAATGGCTGCATATTTTCTTCTTCCTTCCTGATCCATGTTCAAAATGCTGTTTGTGGGGGAGGGTCTTGTGGGGGCTCCTGGCTGCCACTCTCAGAGAGGCTCTTTCCCATCCACCCCAGCTCAGATAACCCAGAAAGACACAGGAGGGTGTGTTTCTTTCACTTACATATCAGGAAGAAAATTCCAAGTCCCTGGATTGAGGCAGCCACAATGGCCATAGAAATCCACCACCCTGTAGCTAAACAGGGAGAAACATGATTTTGATTAGACAGAGGCTGAATTCCCCAATGTGGAGATGCTGCACAATGGAAGCATTTCCCAACCTCCATTGGCCTCCAAGAAGTGCCCCCACCTGAAGGAAGCCCCTCCCCTCCAAGGCTGAAGAGGGCAGAGCGAATGGCCTTGAAGGGCAGAAGGAAGAGCCACCACCCATTGTCTCCTCTATCACCTCATCTATCATCATCTATCATATGCTCATGCCTCTTGCTATTGCATTACCATTTCCAGCTCCTCTGACGGAAAGCGCTTCTCTCCCAGAGCTAAAGGCAGGACTACATTTCCTGCATTTCCTAACATGGGATGTTGCAGAAGAAAATTACCCCACTACCACTTATTTTCAAACATTTGTCTAAAATCTACTTCTAATGCCAGACTGACCCAGCCTCTCACCTGTTTCCTCCTTAAAAGCCAAGACCAGGGGCTCCTGCAGGCCCTTGTGCTCTAGGCGACACCGAAAATGGTCCCTCTCCTTTGGATCGATCTCGATGCCGAGCCTGACATAATAGGTCCAGTCCGAGTTGGGGGCTACGTTCCTTTGGAGGGTCTCTTTTTCCCAGACTTCTCCATCCCTGGTCCAGGTGGCCTGGATCTCCCTGGGGGAGAAGCCATGAGCCTGGCAGATGAGGACTTCCAGGCTGTCATTAACCACCTTGAGGGTCACCTTCCCCATTGGGGCCTCTGCAGAAATAGCAACAACACAATTCCCAGGATTTTGAGAGTTTCTGGCAAGGTGATTTAAATAGCAAGACCTCCTTGGACCATCCTCTCCCTCCGCTCCCTCTCCTTGCCCCAACCTGGGGGAGCCCCTAAAATGGGGCATTGAGGTTCTTTAGATTAAGCTTTGAAAGGGATACATAGAATTTGGGGTAATGTTCTCACATTCCCCAATTTGTTGGATTGATTCAATTTTAAGCCCCCAAATTGAATTTGTTCAAGTTGTTCAGATGGAAATCAGGAACAGGCTGATCATTTCCTTCCTTCGGCATGAATTTCTAGCTCAGTTTATTTTTAAGTACTTATTTTGGGTGGCACTGAAGATTATTTTTCTTCTGTAACGTGATGTCGGATACTTCCTGACCTTTTTCCGCCAATATTTTGAAAGATGCCTTGGCTGTTCAGGAGAGAAACCATATGGGGAGGGGGTAGCACACAGAAACATGCTCAATGGAGACCCCCTTTGCCACTCACCAATCCTCTGCAGAGCCTCCTTCCTGTAGGACAGGTATCTCTGCAGCCACTCAATGCAGGGCTCCTCCAGGAAGTCTTTGTTTCCCCCAGACCATCTTGAGTCATCCTCCCACTTCCTCTTGACCTTCTCGGCCTGGGGCTGAGCTGCCACCCATCTGAGGGTCTCCTTGTCGAAGCTGATGAAGTCCATTCCGTTGTAGCCATAGTGCAAAAACCCTCCTTTGCTCCCGTCTTCCATGAGCTCACAGCCCAAAACTACCTGCCAGGTGTGAAGCCCTGAAGGAGACCCAGAGGGGGTGGGTGTGAATGAAAAGGGTCTAGGATTCCTCCCCCTAGATCAGGGCTTTTCAACCAGTGGTACGGGTACCACCTGTGGTACATTGGCACCTTGCAGGTGGTATGCGACCATCCTAGAAAAGTGGTAGCGGGGGAGGGGAATGAGCTGAACCGGTGGCAGCACCGCATAAGCCTGAGCAAGAGACGGCTGGAGCTGCAGGGCTGTCAGGGCTCAGCAGAAGCACCAGGATCAGTGCCGCTTTCCAGCTGATCGGTGCTTCTTCAGGGCTGTCAGGGCTCAGTGGAAGCGCCAGGATCAGCGCCAGGCTCCAGCTGTAACTCGGCGCTGATCCTGGTGGTTCTGCTGAACCCAGAAGAAGTGCCAGGATCAGCTGGAATGTTGCAGCATCTCCAGGGTCTTGTGATTTACATTCAGATGCTTGGCAACTGATTCATATTTATGACAGTCACAGTGTCCCAGGGTCATGTGAAGTGACCAAAACCTGCTGCAACCACCCAGCAGATGGGGGGGGGAATAAAAACCAAACCCCACCCATCCCACCCCCACTGCCAATCCTCAACAGAAATGCTCACAACAATGAAAACCTTGGACAGAAAGAAGAGCGCCGCCGGGTGGGCAGGCAGGTGTCTTGTTCGGCTGTGGCTTGGGGGGCACTTTTTTCAGTGCCATTGTAACTTTGAACAGTCACTAAGCGAACTGTTGTAAGTCGAGGACTACCTGTACTTCATCACTTTTTTCCTTTTTTTTGTCATCAAGTTTTTGACACCTTGCTAGGCAACTGGTGGTACTCTGATATTGCCATATCCTAAAAGTGGTACAATGGGTGAAAAGGTTGAAAAGCCCTGCCCTAGACAGCCTCAGAGTCTTCCCCCCTTCCCACCTGGGGAGAGAAAGCAGATTTCTCCTTCCCCTCTTTATCACACAAGGAGAAACATCTTTTACTTCAATTAACTCTGTTTGGCTAGCATCAGGCCATGAAGAATTTCTAGATGAGGAAGAAAACTAGGTTTGTGTGTGTGTGTGTTTGTGTGTGTGTGTGTGTGTGTGAAGTCCCCTGCAACCATTGGAGGCCAAAGGTGGCACTGCCCCTGCTCACCTCCAGCACGGTGGCCCGGTTTTGATAACTTCTCCAGGTCAGCCCTGAAGACCCACTCAGGGACCAGAAAGGCCTCCTCCTCCCCCTCCTCCATCCAGGGCACTAGAGGCTCCATCTTCCTGGTGAGGCTGTCAAAGTGAGCGATGGGCTGGTCATCCAGGTAGCTCTCAATGAAGAACTGAGGCCGCTTCTGGCTGAGCTCTGGCAGATGCAGGTAGAAGTACCTCAGGGAGTGTGAGGGAGATCCTGGAGAGGAAGGAGGGAGAAGAGAAGAATTGGGGGGGGGATCTTCACTGCAACTTCATCCTCTCCAACATCTTATTGTCACACAGCAGCCCCCCCCCAACAACTGGGTCGCCCCATCTGGCTTAGATACTCCTGCACCTCCTCTGGGCCCTCCAGGTTCCCAGACTCTCTTTTCTCTACAAGGGGAGCTGATTACAGATCAGTTACTAAAGGTTTCAAACGAGGCTGGCTGAAGCGCGAGAGAAGGAAGATTCTTTTTTTCCTTCTGGGAAAAGGAGTTTGGGATTGAGGGGGGGATGGGGAGAGAAAGACCCGTCCCAGGACACGCGCCCCCTCCCCGTCGCACACTCGCCGCACAAAGCCCCGAGCACGAAGGACCCCAACGCAACTCCCAGGAGCAAAAGGGGCGCCCGGGGCAGCGGCATCGCCCTCCAACCAGGCGCCCCCCGTCCGCTCGGGAAAAAGGCGTTCAGGCGCCACACCCGGTCCGGGTCCCGCCCTCATGCCTGGCACCTTTTGTCCCCGCCCCTTTTTTCCAACTTTTGCATGCCGTGGCTGGTGCCGCCGCAAAGATGGCTTGGCTCGCTACTCAGTCAAATCTAACGATGAAATTTTAAAAGCAATTAAACAATTGAAAGCTGGTAAAGCCCCTGGAACGGATGGTTTAACAGCAACTTATTATAAGTCATTGTCAGCTATATTGTTACAACCCTTAAAAATCTTATTCAATAGAATTATGTCGGGAGAACAAATACCTCAGTCTTGGACAAGAGCCTTTATATCTTTGATACCGAAGGATGATAAAGAAATTTTGGAACTTAAAGATTATAGACCTATCTCTTTGTTGAATGTGGATTACAAAATTTTTGCAAAGATTTTGGCCAATAGACTGATGCAGATATTGCAACATTATATACATGATGATCAAACTGGCTTCATATCTGGGAGATACATGAAGAATAATATTAGGCAAATTGTAAATTTACTGGAATATTTGGATAAGAATAATCAAATATCTTCGGCCTTTATCTTTCTTGATGCGGAGAAGGCCTTTGATAAATTGGAATGGCAGTTTTTAAACAAAATGTTGGATTATATGAACTTTGGAGATCAATTTAAAACAGCCATAAAGGCGATATATCAAAAACAGACTGCCCAAATAATTATAAATGGAGACCTGACAGAGCCTATAGATATACAAAAAGGTACTAGACAAGGTTGTC